TAAATAGCTTGTTATATAAATTTAATAATGGCCTTACATGCAATAAAATTTATGTTTTATGTAGGTAAAAGAAATATTTTGGTCTCCGGATTCAGATATTTTAACTATTTGGTGTGAAGAAAATAATAGTATAATATTACAATTGTGGACAGAAAAGAATTACTATTGGTATTTAAAACAAACATTCAATTTCTCTATAGACAATCCACTCTTATATGGTATATGGAGCTATAGGACTAACTGTGGGAAAACATTAATTTTACTCACACCACAGAATGTTTTAACTTATTCATTTCAGTGGACCATTAATCACAGTAAAGGTCAAAGTTTAAAAGACAAAGCAGTAGTTGCTGTTATTGATGGAAGAAAAGCTTTATTAACAGGATTTAAAATTGGCATAATACCACCTCCAATGGCACATCAGACTTTAGAACTTTCAGAACCAATTAATGCAATTGTCTTTGCACCAAATGTAAAAAGTACAGAATCTTTGATAGATATCAATGCTTTCTTTTGTGTTCTACACAATAACAAATTGGCATTTTTTAAATGTTCAGACGTAAGTATGTGTAATAATTTTAATTATTACATATTTCCTCATATATGTATAATAAATTTAATAAGATTTTACATACGATAATTTTATTATATAGGATTCAAATGTTCTTGAATATAAGAATATAAGTATATGCAAAATTAAATGGGATGTACCAACATTTGATACTAAGAATGTTATACCTATCATGCGACATTTCTTATGGTTTAAGGAAAATACTATATTGAGTTCTATTTCAATAGATAATCAAAGTATTTTGTGTATTATAAATGTAGATCTTGAAAAGGATGAGGTTACTGTAAAGTATGTATAAAATTTTTTAAATTTATATTCTATCATAATGTTATTTTAATTCACTTTAATTATCTTAATCTATATAATGTATGTATTAATTTTTTTATTAGACAAACACACATCATGGAAGGATTAATAGAACATATAATATGTTCCCCTAATGCAGATGAGGTTTTTGTGGTAATAGAAGGCTCTGTTTTAAAATACAAAGATAATGAATTTGATTTCGTCGGAATCAAGATACCAACCTTTTCTCATAAAGTAGATCTATTAGAAATTGATACAAGATATGCAATAATATCATTATCTCATGGCAATCGTTTATCAATCGATAGTAAAGAAATTGCAAATAATATTACTAGTTTTTTTTTACATTCAAAATTTTTACTTCTTACAACTTCACAACACACACTGGTATGTGTTACTTTGGACAACGAAGGATTAGAGCAATTATATAAACAAGATTTAACTATAAAACCATGGGAAAATAATATTTGTAAACAATCTGTTAATGGTATGTATAAATTAGGATGTAACATTTATTTTATATTTGATATATACATTGTCGTTTTATATATCTAATAAAAAAAAAAAAATTTTTAATTTTACAGATTTAAACATAAGGAGAATAGAAAGAGGATCTTTTCTAATAATAGCTCTTCCAAATGACTCTAAAACTATTTTACAAATGCCTCGGGGTAATCTTGAATGTATTCAGCCTAGAGCATTATCATTGTATATTATTGGAGAACATTTGAAGAAGTGTGAATATTTGGCTGCATTTAACCTTATGAGAAAACAACGTATTAATTTGAACTTAATATATGATTACGAACCTATTATATTTCTGCAAAATGCAAAGAAATTTGTTGAAGATATTACAAATCCACAATGGTTAAGTTTATTTTTATCTGAATTACAAAATGAAGATGTTACTTCTACGATATATTCGAATTGTTATTTAAACTGCAAAAATCAACAAGAATCGAATGGAAATAAGGTTTCATTGGTTTGTAATTTGCTGAGAAGCATTTTGGAAGAAAAAAATAATGCAGATTATTTTATACAACCAATATTAATCAGTTTGGTTAAAAATCATGAGCAACAAGGTTTGGAAGGTGCACTTAAAAAATTAAAAGAAATAAAAGGATTGGAATCTAAAGAATTTGTTCAGACCATATCGTCCGAAGATGCATTAAAATATTTATTATACTTAGTAGATGTAAATGTTCTTTTCGATACAGCTTTGGGTATGTATGATTTTGAATTGGCAATGTTGATTGCATCAAAATCGCAGAAAGATCCTAAAGAATATATACCGTTTTTAAATAATTTAAAAAAACTTGATGGAAATTTTATGAAATATTCTGTCGACATACATCTAAAACGATACGAATCTGCTTTAAATAATATATCAAAAGATACAGAAAGATTCGATGAGTGTTTGAATTTAATAAAAAATCAAAATTTATATACGAACGGCTTGAAGATATTTCAAAAAGATAGTAAAGAATATAAAGAAATTGCACGAATTTATGGAGATCATTTATTAAGTAAAAATAAATATAAAGAAGCAGGAATAATGTATCAAAAGGCAAATGATTATGTTAATGCATTAAAAGTATATAAATTAGCTGCTTGTTGGCAAGAAGCTATTATTGTTTCAACTTCACTGAAATTAAGGTAAATATATAGAATTACTTTAATTTTTAATTCTTTTCATCCTCTTATATTTTCAAATATTATTCTGTAAAAATAATATTTAGTCCTTCAGAATTATGTATATTATACAAAGAACTTCAAAAAAGATTATACTATGATAAAAGATATTTAGAAGCAGCTCAAATATTGATACTCTATTTAAATGATCCTGAAGGAGCTGTTTCACTATTATGTGAGGGCAAATATTGGAAGGACGTTTTAAGAATTGCAACTGATGCAAATCGTATTGATTTAATTGGTATATTTAATAATTTAGCTACTTTTTACAATTACTTTATAAAATAATTAAATTATATTTTAACTTTAAATAACATTTTCTACATAGAAACACATATTAAGCCTGGCGTACAAGAACATGCTGAGTATACTACGACACAAATTATTAAGAATAAAGAAGATTTTGAGAAATACAAAGCTCGACTTTCAGTAGTAAGAACAGAAATGATAAATAAACAAACACATATTTATGACGATACATTAAATGATAGTATTTTAATGTCAAATAATGGGATTAACGATTTTCTTAGCGATATCAGTAGTGTTACTGGTTCTATAATTAGTAAAGGATCGCAATCATCTACAATATCTAAGTAAATAAAATAAAAAATATATTATAAATATATATGTATATATTATAATTTGATCAATGCGATAATATTCAATTGGATAATTTTTTTAGGAGAAGTTATAGATCAAGTAAAAATCGCAGGAAACAAGAGAGAAAACTTTTAAGTATGAAAGAAGGGAGTATGTTCGAAGATTTAGGATTAATGCGAGCATTACATGAAATTATTACCAAAACATATAAGCAAAAAGGTGTGTGTTCCAATATTATAACACAGCATTATATTATATATTATTAATCATATAATTTTCATGCAGATGAAGTGGACTTATTAACACAAATGTTACTATATTTTAATGATGATGAAGTTGCAGAAAAATTACAAGATATTATGAAAAGTTTTCTTGCAATTATAGAAAGTAGTAAATCTAAAATTTGGGATAAATCAGCGCCTATAAGTCTTACATTTTATGAAGTTGTAAGTTTCACATAAATATTATCTATGATAAATATTTAATTGATTTTACATTTTTAGAATTCGATTGATGATACCTGTATATCAAAAAAGCATCAAGAAACGTTTATACCACAGAAATTAGTTGGTAAGTTTCTGTTAACAATTTCATGTTTCTTTATAATTGTAAATCAATCAGAAAAATAATAAAAATTATTTTATAGAACCACACATAATGTATCCACCAGAAGAAACTGTATCTACAGGATATCTGCATATTTTTTCAAAATAATATTAAATAAATAAAAAATAAATATTTTTATCAAACCCATAAGTTACTTCCTTTTTTTTTATGTTTTATATGCACCCTAAATATACAAAATTTAATGCTATTTTATAGACTTAATCTAATTATTTATAAAAAAAAATTTATGATTTTACATAAGTAATTTTATTATAAATGTTACTATTTAAAAATAAACCAGCTAATATTTCGTAAATTATATTATCATTTGTCAAGAATTTTTTTGTCACTTCTGATGTAATACAATCATCCGTTTATTTACAATCAAATGGATTTCATTGTAATACAAAATATAAATAGTTGCATATAAATTATATATATATAAAATTATATCTATATATATTTTATCTCTATATACATTCAAAATTTGCACAAGAGATGTACATTACCTTTGAAAATTATCGTACTTTATTTCGAGTCAAATTTCCCGTATACATAAATTTATACAATCTTTAATATATAGAATACATAAGAACTGCTAGCTTGACTTATGAAATAATAAGGCTTTTTGAGTTAAGATATTTATGAATACATTTTTATAAAAGTATAAATTAAAATATATTTGTGAAATATTAATGTATTCCCCATATAGTACTGTTAAAATATATGTAGTGCTAATATATATAAAAAAAAAAATGAAATAAACAAACAAAAAAAAAAAAACAAAAAGCTTTCATAACGATTCAAGGATAAAACTTAAAATGCAGCTTAATATTCTATTATCAAATACCATATGTTATGATTTTCCATGTTATATCTAATATTATTATAACAGTCCAAAATATATTCCCTCTTTACTACATTCTCATGCTATTCTATATTTATACTAAAAAATTATGGTATATAATTCTCCTAAATACATATAACACACCCTTGTATAAACGAGGCTGCAAGCTTCTATAAACAATCCGTGTGTTAAATGTCTAATAGACAAATAAGATTTTTCATTACCTATTTATAATTTAGTTTACATTTAAGATGATACAGTCCTTGTATAACCATAATACTAGATGGAATATCATAATTAATAGGTTTGATGACATTATAGATAAAGAATTTCTTTCTGCAATTTTTATTGTTAATGATATTAGTGAAGGGATTAAGTTTATTTGTCTTCTATTGCCATGGCAACTATAGTTGGGGATTTAAGTTCTGGACGAATACTAATCTTCATATATTTGGCATTTACATATTTCTTTCTCACAGCTTGATATTTACTTTTATCTGCATTTGTTATAATAACAGCAATATCCTTCACAACAGGTAATATATCTTCCTTAGTATAATTACTATAATATTCTAAAGTGTTTGTCCAAATTTTCTTATTTTCATTTTCTTCATTATTACCAAGGATTCTATCAAAAATACATTACACATAAATACTTACATCTTTGATAAAAAAGACATGTAATAAATATTTTCAGACATAAAATACTTACACAAATGCCAAATATATGGCTGCTGCTGCTATTAAACTTGGTGAATAATGACACATTTCATAATGTACTAAACTCTGTTCCAAAAAGTATTTGGCCATTGTATGATGTATGGGAAGTGCCTTTAGCCAATACAAAATATTAAATATGCCATTAAAATGAAATGACTTCAGGTCATATAGTAACGGATATTACATTATTATTACCTTTCCAGCTTTACTATATCTTCTTAAAAAATGAAGTGGTAATGGTCGTCCAAATGAAAAGTCAAGAGTTCTTAAAATGAGCAGTTCCATTTGCAAAATTTCTAATTTTGTGTATGCATTATCAGTTATATACACAAAATCGCTTACATCTGGTGAATACATTTCTTCATATTTACTCGCTATAAACATTGCTGTTACACCTACCAGTTGTAATCTTTTCCTATCTATAGTCTTGTATGACTGTTATAAAAAATTTATAGCATATTAATTATTGAAAACAAAGAAAAAATTTTAATAGTTATATTTCATTTAAAAACAAACCTGAAGAAATCTATCGATTATAGCAATAGTAAGATATAATGTTTCTTGCATAAGATGAAATTGTTGATGTACTTCAATAAGCCAATCTATAAGAACACTTCTCATCTTGGCAGTGACTTCTTGTCCAGTTAAATAATCCTTTTTAATAGGAAATCTTTTTTCTAAACTTCTTAAATATTCATATATATCATTACAATACATAGAAACCAGAATTGGATTTTCCTTATCCGTTTCATCTATATCTTCAACAGTCATAAGATCAGACGAAAATGATTCTTTTTCTTTTGTTGTAGATATCGTAGGTGCTGATAGTAATGAATTTGTTTCTATAGAAACTTGAACTTTTGGTATGGGTTTAATTAATTGCACTTGTGGCTTTTCTTGTACTTTTGCAGGCTTTTCTTTAACTTTTTCTATAACTTTTTCAATTTGTTTAACGTCATTCTTCTTACAAATTATTTGTTTTTTTTCCTTTAACAATAAACTACTTCTTTCAATAGGTTCTGCTCCTCTTTGTGTATTTACTTTATTTCCTAATTCTCCAAATACAGCTCTTTTAGTTGTTACTGTTCTTGCGGCAATAGATGACTTCGAATTTATAACATTTTCTTTATTAACATTATTCTGTAATCATTTCTTTTTTTTAATTAATAATCACATAAACTAAGATATAAAAATAATTATAAATAATAAATTGAATAGATATTGAAAGATTTCATGTATAATTAAATAATACATATATAAATAAATAAATTTTTTTAAGGATATATGTATATGCTATATTTATTATTATTATATATCACACACACACATACACACACACACACACACACAAAATCTAATACAATAAGTAAAAAAATACTAAATATAAACAATAAATAAAAAAATATTAATAATATTAATATATTTATTATATTAATATAATTAACAATATTAATATTATTAATAATATAATAAAAAAATTCATAATACATTATAAAAAAAAATCTACTTTTAAAACAAAATCTTATGACTATGGTAAAAATAAACATAATATTATTAGATTATCGTTAAAAAGAAAAGCGAAATGCATATTTATGAATATTTCTATCAAAATTAAGATAAGAAAAAAAATTAAAAGAAACCAGTTGAAGGAACAATTTAAATGAAAAATATTTCCGTGTAATAACTTAAACAAAAAAGTAAATCTTTTCGTAAAATTGGTCATTTTTAAAGCTTATAGAACAATTTGTTAAAAAGAAAAAACACGTGCGCAAGATAATGTTACTATTTTTTAAAGCCTTTAAAATTATAATAGGGCATTTAAAGATGTCAGGCACAGGGACCGTTACCCTATCATGCTGACCTCCCCTCATTAGATATTCTAACGAATGTAAATTTTCAATGTATTTTCTAATGTTTTTTTAGAAAAATATTATTTACTCACCATAAGCACTGGTCGATTTCTTAGCGCCATCGTCAACTCTAATAAAATATAATCTTCCTTAATACAAAAATATAATTCCTTTAAAATAATCTTTATCTCTTAGATGCTTGCCAAACAACGTTCACCTCTCGTAATAACGACCTCAGCGGTTTGAATTTGTTTAGCTGCTAGACCGGAAATTCACCCTCGATAGATGGCTACGTACGATCTACAAATGGCGCGAAAAAATCATTTTTTGATTGGTATTCCAATTTTACGAGGGAATATTTAAATCTCATTTTAATTAAACAAACTTATTTTAACGTGTTAAATTCAGGTATATTTTTATTTATATACTCGCAATAAAAGATTTTTATATTATTTTCAATTTATATAAAATGGTCCGTAAAATGTTGGATATTTTCTTTAATATTAAAAAAATAATGGAATCGATCATTTTTCGTCTGAATTTTTTTAAATATCTCGCACTGTATATTATTATATATGTATCTTGTTTATAAATTATTTAATTTATTATTTAATTTAATTAAAGAGAAATAATATTTAGAAAAAATATTGAAAAATGTGACGTATAAACAATTATGTTTTATATGTTCCAATATGTCATCTATATCTAGTTGGTTGTCTGTCAATCATGCGAACGTCGTAGTATTACATATTTTGATATATATAAAGGAAAAATATAATTGTTTAACATGTCTGTTAATATAGACATTAAATTAAAACGTGCCAGTAAAATATATCATGAAGGGGTTCGTTTTATTTATTTATTTGCAATTTATGATAACAGACAATAAAATTGGGGTTATGTTTTAGGAGGTTGTCACTGGTCTTATATTATTACAAACAAATTCCGATTTAAAGCACGATGGTATATTCCTTACAATGGAAGGTTCAGTTAATTTACAATTAAGTTCAAAAAATGTTGGTATCTTTGAAGCTTTCTACAATTCTGTAAAGGTTAGTTGATGCTTATCTTCATTCTTCTGCGGATCCTAATTTTATATTGAATACTATTTTACCTAACATCATAATTGAAAATAGAACAATTAATTTACAGCCTATTCAATTAGTACAATATACTTTAGATGTTGCTCCTGCTGGCAAAATACCAAGCAGTAGAATACCATTTGAAATACCCTTCGAATTACCATTAAAACCACGAGGGAAAAAACCATTATATGAAACTTATCATGGAGTTTTTGTAAATATACAATATTTGATACGTTGTGATATAAAAAGAAACTTTCTTGCAAAGGATGTAAGCAAGTCATTGGAATTTATTGTGGAAGACAAATTCACTATTAAAGTCGATAAAGAGCATAGTAAAATTGTATTCTTTAAGATAACACCAGAGTCTTTACAAAATACAAAAGATAAAGTTAATGTTCCAAGATTTTATATTTCAGGAAGATTAGATTCATTGTATTGTAAGATTTCAGAACCTCTTAAAGGCGAGGTAAAAGTATTAACCGAAATTTATTATTATTTCTTCTAATTTAACTTTTGTAAAATAATAAATTATGTATTTAAGGTAGTAATTGAACATTGTGAAGCTGTTATAAAATCAATTGAATTGCAGTTGGTAAGAGTAGAAACATGTGGCTGTGCAGAAGGATATTCGAGAGATGGTAAATCAATCACTTATATCACATATAAATATCGATAAGTAAACTTTATGAAATTGTTTTCAAATATAATATATTTTACAGCAACAGAAATACAGAATATACAGATAGGAGAAGGAAATGTATGTACGAATTTACCCATACCTATTTATATGATATTTCCAAGATTATTTACTTGTCCCACTTTAAGCACAAGTAACTTCAAAGTTGGTAAGAAATTTTTTATGATAAAAAAGTTTGAAGGAAACGGAAGTCTTCTTTAATATTAATTTAACTGATTTTTTAATATTGCATTTTATTTGATTTCAGAATTTGAAGTAAATCTTATTATTATATTTGAAGACGATTATTTAGTTACTGAAAATTTTCCTATAATACTTTCCAGATACTAACTACTGTTGATATATAAAAATATAAACTGTAGCAGCACATAAATGCAATCACTATATGATTTGGCAATAAAAATATTTGTCTTAAGTTAGTTAAATAATGCATTAATTTTACATTATGTACACACAATATTATTTTTTTTTATATATCAAATATTTTTATATATTAGTTTATGTAATATAGAGTATAAGTAATAATTGTTGATAGAAATCTTTTCTATATAAAAAGTGTAAATTAAAAGGTATTTTTTTATGCCCAAAAAACACCAGAATTATTTATAAGTAATAATGCAGTATTTATGCAGATTATTTCAGATTGTTAAATTTTATTAAAGTTTTCCTCTTGCTTTAGTTAAGTCCAGTTTTTTGGACAAACAATCTATAATACTTTTCTACTTGCTTATTATGTGTCAATCCAACTGAAGCTAATAATATGACATATCCAAGCATAAAAGTTAATAATTTATGCTGTCTAAACCAGTCCAATAATCCAGAACTTTCATTACTCCTAAAATATAAGACACATAATAAATTAAAATCTATTACCTTTCATGATACAAAATATTTATAAAGATTATCAAATAAATGTTACCTCGTTGGATGAACTTCTTGACTATAAACAAGAAGATAACGAATCCTTACTAAATCACTGTTGGTAACTAAATAATATTTATCTGGAACTGATTCAGATAACGTATTTTGTATTCTAACTCCTGAATTATGTTTTTTTATAGTAGGGTGATTAATAAATTCACAAAGAGCTACACAACTCAATTCACTACCAAGAACACTGCCACCCCATCCATAGCCTACTGGACTATATGGTAAACTTACTCCTAATTCACTTGAAAGATATATTCCTTTTCCAAAAAGCGATTTCTAAAATACAGCAAAATTATATATTAAAAAATAAAAGTTCTACGAAAATATTATGTATTATAGAAGCTATATAAATTATTGTAAACAATTAAAATATTATTATTATTATTATTATTAATTTTACCTTACACATGTTCTGTTGTAAACCATAATGTAGAATAGAATGAAAATTTTCTAAACGACTCCCGTGATATGCATATAATGTAGAATAGCCTTGCCCATTATATTTCCACTTTTCTTCTGCGGCTGATTGCTTTGCACTTGCTATTTGAAATATTAAATTTGGTGTAGCAACTTGCATTTCAGAAGGTAGTTTCCTTAATACAGAATTATACTGTAATAATAAACTTTATCAGTATTATTATTACATGCAATTTTTAAATATTACATTAGCTTTTATAATACATATTGATACTTACATTTTCCTTATTTATACTTTTAATATAAGGATCTCTCAATCTTATTAACACCCAATGTAACAAGTCTATAGCTGGTCCATAATTAGCATATACATTTGGCTCATGAAGTTCTCTAAATATTACTGCCAATGGAGGTATCAGTTCTACAGTTTTTCTCTAAAATTAACACATATAATTAAGAAGAATATTATCAACATATAAATTTATGGATCTATATTAATGTCAGAATACATAAAAATTATTTTTAGATATTATACCAAAGCTTCTATATCCTTGCATTCATTTTTTATATACATAGGTGGAAATGGTCTTAAACAAGTATCATAACGATATGTATTACATGCTGATATAAAGAGAGACCACTTTAAATCTGCAGCTTTTGGATCCTTTTCTAGTAAATGCTTAAGAAGTATAATTTTCTTTTCTGTATCATCTTGATAAGGTGTAGTATCCATTTTTGTACTATGTAATACACTCAAGTTGGTATTAACTAACTTTTTTTCTTCGTTAATGTCAATTTTATTGTCACATTTTGATTTCATTACATTAATTTGATGACTTTTTTCCATACATTCCATTGTTAATGATAAACTATTGAACCTATGTATATTTGAGATATTAATTTTCTTTTTTATTAACACATTTTTAATAACAATATTTTGTTATGTTATTGCCTTTAATAAATCGCAAAATATATTTAATACATTTAAATTATATTTTTACTAAGGATTTTATAAAATTATTATTGTTATTTATTTATTGTTTTTTATATTTCTTTAAAATACATTTACTTCAAATTAAACAATATTTCGACTCGTACAAGTAATGTTTACATAAAATGTCAAAGTCCAACTGATATAACTTTGATTTTAATGTTACTAGAAATGTTGCCATACATTCATGAAAAATTAGTAAAATAGATAAAAAGATGTATAATCAAATTACTTAAATTATTCATTTAAAAAATTAACATATAAAATTTATACGTAAATTTAATTAATGCATTTATTGAACCTAAGTTTTTTTCTCATTGTTGGACAATTTTTTATAATCTAGTAAAATTGCTTTGATCTTGATAAGATTTACTAGAAAATTAAGTCTTTTTATTAATAAAATATTGATTATTCTTGTTTATTAAAATTAAATAATTTGTATGAAAATTTTTAAATTTATTAATCATTAATAAATATATCTTTTAACGATATATTAGAATAAATAAAACATAACCTTTATTCTTATAGTTTTATGTAAACATATACGTGATTATATTTCTTTAAGAAACTCTTCGATAAAATAAAGATCATAAAAATATAATATTTTCCCAAGAAGAATAATGAATAATATAATGACAGAATTATTATGACTAATAAATATATTTAAATGTTCTTACTATTAGAAGCTTGGTATCTTGTAGCCTTTAATTTCGAACATTTCAACACATAGACAACTGTTATCGATACAAATACTTAACTTGCTGTGAAAAGGTACTTACACTTATGTTACAAGAAATTTATATAAAATATCGAACATTTTCCTAATAAGTTTTGAGATTTATGACGTACGCTACTTTATTTCTCTTTGTTTCGATATTCGTTTGTCAAATATCGCGTTTCCATTTATATATATATACACATATATATATATTTATTTATTTATTTATTTATTTATTTATTTATTAACATATATCGAACAAATGTAAATTTGTTTCGATGTTTAAAAAAACAAAATATAAAAAGAATTCTTTTTTCTAAAAATTTTATTAGAATTGTTATAAAAAATTATTATTGTGTATAAAATGTTTTAAACATATGAGAATATATAAGATATATTAGTGTTTATCGTATTAAAAAATATATACAATATGTAGCCAATGCTACCCAATGGCTGGCAAATCCAAGCTGAGACCATTTTTCAATAGTATGAATATAACTATATCCTGTTTCTTGTAACTCTGAAGTATCAAACATAAGACCCAAATAAGCTAAATGAAACATTGTTAATACCGTAAACATTATGTTTGTTAAAATAACCCAACAATTATAAGAGTTGTATAAGTGAGTACACTTATTTTGGATACATTCTTTTGACCCAATACATGCGTCAAAAATATTAGCAAGCATCATTCTAAGTTGATGCTCTACGTACGTATATAAACCAAGACTCAATAATACTGCTCCCAATTGAAAATTTAATCCATGTAGAAGAGAACTTGTTAGATAAGTAATAGTTACAGCTCCAAATTTTCCTAAATACTTGAGACTTGGACGGAATATATCTAAAAGAAATAAGCAAATTAATCATCATTAAAATAATAAATGTTATTTTTTCTAACATACATTTTTTTAACCAAAAATGCATTGGAATATTCCAATATACAACAACTTGAACGAGTGAACGTGGTAGTTCAATTTCTAATGGTTTAACAATAGATATTAATGAGTATGGATATCCTCCTAAAAATAATATGGCTGATGCCATGTATGAGATAAAATAATGGGATGTTCTGAAAGATAATGCATCTTTATAAGCTATTAGCCACCTAAAATATAATAAACCTTTATTAAAAAAAAAATATACATATATGTTTTAAGCAATTTATGTATTATGAGACATGATAACAAAGAAAAGAATGTTTTGTATTTTGATACTAACTTCCATGAATTGTCTGAAAATATCCATTGTATCCAACAGTTTGACATACTTAGAAAAAGGAATGAATGAAGAGTATATCCAATTACAATTAATAACCACCATTTTCCCTATAATATAAAAATCATATTAAAGTATAAAATAATGTAAACAAAATTAATGAATTGACTAATAAAATATTAATAACTATACTTGCTGACTTGGCCGGCGTAAGGCCAAATAATCTTTTAATGGAACCCATGGACCAAAGAACGAAGTAGCTGCACAAAACATATATCCCATATAACTGTAAAAATCTGGTATGTTGTTAGATTCAATGCTATCTGCAGCAACACTAATAGTTTTCATTGCCATGGTCATAATTATACTACGTACTTTATGCCAGATTATCGGTTTCATATAAAATTCACTATAAAATAAAATCATAATTCAAATTATAATTATCCAGAGGTATAAATGAACATAAATTATATCCATGAAATTAATTATAGATAATTTTAATCTAATCTTAACAGTAAAAATAATATATACCAATGTGCAATTATAAAAAGTGATGGCAAGAAGACTCCTATGTCTTTATAATACTTCTTTGGTATATGTAAGGTAATGTAAGAAAGTATAACAAATAATACTAATAAAAATAAACATTCTTGCGCATAATGCTGAATAATACATATTCCAATAATCAGTGAAAATCCATGAAATAATCTATCAGAAATAGATTCTGCAACATTAAATAATATCATGAAAATATATGAGTGTAACAATATAGATAAAATAAAGGAAATCCTTACGCATTTGAGATACAAATCGAAAGATAAACATTGCAAGAAACAGTGGCAACATATAAAATCCTGTATCATAGAGTGTAGGTACAAGACAATATTGATAGAGTTCGGAAAATGTTTCTCCTTCAGCATCTTCGTATTCATAATCATATTCTTGACCATGATAATAACCAAGTCCAATGAAGTCATTTTCATCATCATAAAATACTGTAGTATCTACATCATCCATCACAGCTATTTATCTTACAAAAACTTAATGACATACTTAATGCAACATCCTATTTTTTTAACCTGAATGTACCCTAGATAATTATAAGAGAAAATAAGGAGACAATAATAAACTGTTATGTAACTAATACTAAACAAAAACTATTAATCGTGTGCAGATATTTTAAACGAACTCAATGAGTACAAACCTTGTATACAAGTAAATATACCGATTAATGAATATTTAGTTTAATATATTGAACGAGTTAATTACTTTTTGTTTGATTGCGTTTCGCATATTAATATACTGACATAATGATTAATAATCAAGGTAATATTGTTTAAATAGTAAATTATACGATATTTCGAGAAATATACTGTAAGATGCACAATTCCATCTTAACTATGATGGCCGAAAATACCATCATTTATGGTTTTTTTTATATCATGTACAAGTATAACCTATATTAGATGATAAAGTAAATAAGTTCTATTTTTTTTTGTTTGTAATTAATAAGAATTGACAATATTTAGAGAAGAATTGAATAATATTTTGTATATTTAAGCAATTTTTTATATTTAATATTTATTGTGAAAATTTAATATATTTCTATGATTCATAAAAAACATTAATATTTAATGTGAAACATTTTTAATTGTAAATATTTAATAATTATCAAAAAACACGACTATGTTAAGTCAATACAACGATATTGAAGAAGATGAAGAAGTTATATTTGAGGTATTTAATAAGAAGAGAAATGATTTTCTGTGTTCACATTTAAATGATTATTATCATTATGTTTTATAATTTTTAGGGTAGTGAACTATATGAACATTTATCTGCACTGGGATATGCAGATTTTGAAACTGCAATAGTTCCTAAACCTCAACTGGCGTCACAAAAGAAATCTATCTATATGGTATTCCATTTTAATGTTATGTATTTTGACTTGTTTTTATGTTTTCAACATAAATAAAGTATTTTAAATATCTTTTTTTAGAATGCTAATATTATCAATGATATAGGTAGAAACATCTATAAATATATATTGGATTTTAAATCTTGGATAACACAGGTATATTTATTTATTGATGTATAAAAATCAATATAAGTTTCATAAAATTATTTCATAACAGGGCAGTAGTATATCCAAAGAACAATTGCACATTATTTTAAGTGCCAAAACACTTTTAGACGATCATGCATGTGCAATTAATAGTTATACACAGAAATATTTTCCTTCTACACCATGGAAGTATGGTTTTACTTTCTATTATAAATATGCTTACATATATATTGCTTCATTATGTTGATAGAGACTTATATATATTTATTACAGAAAAATGTTAAGGAATTTACTTGTTAATGGTACAATAATATCTTCTTTTACGTATTTAATGTTCTGTAAAGACAAAAAAGTTTCAAATGTTATAATAACATTCTGTATATTATATTTCACTGGTTATAGAAACTACAAAGCTTTACAGGCACATAAAGAATTAAAACGATTAGTATTATTACAAAATGAATTTTATGATTTATGTAATAAAGGATTAAAAATTTTGAAACATAATTACAAGATAAAAATTAATTCTAAAAAAGCAAACCAACCATTTCAGTAAGTATATTTTATAAATAATATTTTTTAATTTAATTATATATATTTAAATCAAAATTAGATTCATTCTTATCCGATTAGTGATCTTATGGGAGAAAGATTAATATACCTACAACCAATAATGGAAAATTTAATTAAATCCATGGAAGATCTTTGTCAAATTTATCATCATATTATTTCTATTATGACAGCACAATATCCTAAACATATTTTAAATCAATTTATAATAACAATATTTGAAGATAATGCATTTAAAATACGTGGAGAAATTAATTATGGAACATTGAAGGTGATTATAAAAAGGCTTTAAATTCTATATCTTTTTATATTAATTAAACATTTTATATTCTTGAACAGCAATTATATTATACTTATGTTCTTATGCAATCGGAACTATTATATTTACTGGCTATTGCATATGATATTAAAACATGGTCTTTAACTTGTGATAAAATTTCCAAGGCAAACCTATTTTATATTATTTATAAATTGAATAAACAATTGATAATATACAAGAATAAATTGTCTCTGTGTATCAATTCTTATTATAATTGTAAAGTGGAACCAGTTCAATATAATTTTAAGTAAGTTATTGTTTAAAATAAATTTTCATGTTGAATCTAATATCAAATTTAATATCATACTAATAAATCATTTTTATTTCTAGGGGTACAGTTACATCGAAATGGCAAGACCTTTATTTACATTTGAATTTGACATCTAATAAGATTCAACAGGCATATGATCGTATAATATCAATGATTAATGATATTGATACCTGTACTGATGATACCTCAACCAATAATGAGATGTTAGAAAAAATGATGGAAAAAATGGATGAAGTGTATAAGCAAATAGACGTAGCTAGAAATTTTGCTGAATTTAGTAGTTTATTAATAACAAAAATAAAATATAAAAATTCCAAAACGAGTTATACAAAACAAGATACTAGAATACAAAATGTAAATGAAAACTTGCCAGTAATAATTGATACAGAACCAGAAATACTTGATGAGGTATTTGAAGAATATATTAAAGAAGAATATCTGAAACCTTTGTATGAAGAAGATCAAGAGATTTTATTACAAGAATATAAGTTAGATAAATTGTTGGCAAAGAATTTTATGAGTGAATTAAAAGAAGCTTTGATTGATAAGCATAAAACTATGTCAGAAAGAGAATCTAAAGCACTTCAACGTATGTACAAATACGTAATAAATAGCGCAAATGATTTGGGGAGTAATAACTCAAAATCTTCAATACCTATACCACCTCCAATGCCTTCTTTGTTTAATAATTCTATATCGCTATGTAATAATGATTCTATTAATTACGACGATAGTGAAATTTTTCCTATAAAATCGACAAATACATCGAATACTGAAATATTTCATAAACAAACGTCAAATGTAAATAATATCGTAGAAAATTTTAAATATGCAAATGACAACAATGAATCAACGATTGAAGATAACGAAGATAGTAATGATTTTAGACCATTGTCATCGACAAAATTCCAAAATCCTGTTATACAATTTGGATTAAATATGCCTCCTAAGTTACTATCTATGAATGAAGAAATGTTTATAGGTAGTGGAGAAAATTCCGAAAGTGACATTGAGCCAGAAAATGATTCAATTAAATAATATTCTGTATTCATTTATAAAAATAAATAATAACAAATTTGCGTACTTATTTTTTACATGCAGACGTTGTTAACTGATAATAAAATATTGTCACCAATTATAATCAATTATTCAGTTGGAACAGAATTAATTCTTTAATAAAAAATTATATAAATTTTATTTCAATAAGGTAGTATCTTTTAATTGCATATAAAGATATGCGATTACTTTGTTTAAAGAAAATTGATTGGAAGTATTTTTTACAAAGCTAGGTTATTTTTAAAATGTCATTTTTCTATGTAATACTTCTTTTTAACAATGTTGTAATTTTATTGATAATTTCAGAATTGTTTTTAATTATTTTTAATGCTGTTATCATACTTTCATATGCAGTAATATATTTATTAACTGCTATATTATCCTTTAGCATAATTTTTTTTAGATAAAAAAAATATGTGTACTGTATTTTTATATGTAACATTTTTTATATAACAATAGTACATATATTTTATACGTATATATGTTCTGTTTCATTTTACAGTCGTGAAATAATTTATGTATCTCATTTGTTTGAAATACTGTTTCATATATATATATATATATAATTAACGAGAAGCAGCTAAGATCAATAATATAGCAAAAAACTTGGATTATGATGTAAGTCTTGTTTAATGTAAAATGACAAAAACAGCATTCATTAATCAGACAAATGGAATGATTTTTTTTTATGTAAGTATGTGATATAATAAAATTATATTATTTTTAGAGACAAGATTTTATATATCCAATATTAACATGTGTGTCATTTGTGACCAGCACAGATAAGTCCACCATTTACAGAATAAAGAATTACAACAGATGCTGTTAAATGCATCGCAGTCTTAATGAAAAGACTTAAGCTTTTTCATTCATAAATAAAAATTATTTCAAAGATAATCTATCTTGTATTAACTTATCACTGGAGCTATGTGCATATAATATACAAATGTATACAATACAGTATTTAGATGTAAGCATCTTTATGTACTATGTACAGATCATTTTCACAAGTTTTTTTATATTTTAGGCTTTCCCTAAATAATCAATTTTTGCAAAAAATTATAATATGAAAACACCATAAATTGGGTTTCTTAGTAATAATTATTTCTATATTGTACGTATTTTCTTCTGAGCAAAGTAGAAAAATTACTTTGAAAATAAAATATATTAATTTATGTTTTATTGTGCGATGATCATAATTGCTTTGAACCTTCCGTTTTTTTTGTTGTAGGAGGAATACTTGGTGTTAATGATGAATTTCTGACATTGGATTTTGAATTACTTGTTAAAATTTCTGCTGACTTTTCTGTACTACTCTCATCAATGGATGAAATTTTAAATTTTTTTTTAGGCTCATAAATATCATCTTTTAATTCTTCTTTTCCTAATTTTTCTTCTTTTGTAGTTGGTGTAATTGGAATTGATGAATCAGGCACTTCTTGCGTTGCTGTACTTTCCTTTTGAGAAATTTTCTTAACTTGCTCGTCTGCTTCTAAAATTTCTTCCTTATCCATTATGTCAATTAGTTCATCTAATTGTTTTTTATTTAATTTTACGTCTTCTTTTCCTATAAGTTCTACAACCTACAAAAAGAATAAGATTGAAATATTTTTCTAATATATTCTTAATATATAAGAAATATAATATTTTCATTATAATATATTCTTAAATTTTTAAGAAAATTAAATTGTACCTTTAATACATCTTCAATTTTAATAACACCATCTCTGTCGTCGTCAATTTTCCCTAGAATTCCTGCTATTA